ACTTAAGTAACAAAATGAAATTTCTTTTTCTCAGTGTTATCATCCAAATCTAGATCATTCTGATTTATTTTCTGTGATACAAAATTTTGTTTCAATTCTAATTCAATGCTGACAGGAAAGCAGATACTTATGTCTCTATATACTGCACTACCTTGCCCCCATTTCTCCAATAGCAGAAGAATCACTGAAAGCAAAAAATCAACATGTTCTACTTGCATCTAGAAAGTCCACAACAATATACAACAGTCGGTTGCATTAATTCTGCCATTATGTCTCAAAGAGCTATATTAATACATAGTACCTTAAATTAAGGACTGGTTGTATATACTAAAATGGCCTTCAAGAACCTATTCATCTTTTAATAATTAATACAATAAAACTCTAAGTTCAACAAAAGCATACCATTAGTTTGTGTTCCTCTAAAAACTCTTTGTTAACTAATCTCATCTGCAGTTAATTACAGTAACAAATATATGTAACTTGGTTTCCTAACTTTTTAAATGGCCCCATCATAGTATAAATGAAGGGTAAGGAGAAGAATTTATCACATTATATGTATAAAACAAACCCTACTTTTCACCTCATAAGCACTAAATTATTTATGACTTTAAAAAGTAAAATTTTTGTTTAATAAAATTCTTTATATCACAACCTACATTTAAAATTCTATTTTTCAGCATGTCCTTACAAAATTATGAACAATGAAAAGCAGCAATTCTAAATCATGCAGATCAGTTAGTAAGCAACTGCTTCAAATTTTAATTCTATAAACTTTGCATTCATCATACCAAGTGACATGTACCTGTAAAACTATGGAGACTGGGGTGTGTTTTACTATTTTTCAGCAATAACATTTTTCTTCACAAGTGCTATAACTGAAAATTTACACTGGATCTTTAAAACTTTTTCATAAGAAGTCTCCAATTTTTAACTTAAGTGGGAAAATAGTGTTTGTATTTGCATCATATAAGAATTAAAGAAAAAAATATCAGAAATAAAAACAAACTAAATGCAACACTAGAGTAAACAGATCCCACAAAAAATATGGAACAAAATGGAGGAAATTTTTAATAAACAAATAAAGAAGGAAAGAAAAAGGATCTGTGAACAAACGATATAGAAGTTAGGCAAAAAGGTCCAACACACACTCATAATTGGAGCTCCCCCCACCCCCAAAAGAAACCTATATAGAAAACTTTTCTGGAATAATAGAAGGCTATTATTTAATGCCACACATAAGGGTAACAAGACATAATCAACTACTGGTACTAAAAAAAGAAAAGATAAGAAAAATCTTCACAGCACATAAGCAGAACACCAAGTTTCATGTAAAGGCTAAAAAATGCATAAGACTTGGACAATAATAATGCATGTCCAACTCCATGGAGCCCAAAAGAAAATGTAAGCCCTGGGTTTTATACCCAATGAAACCTTCAAATATAATAGGTGTAATGGTCAAAAACAAGTATGTTACAAACCAGAAAGGACTTAAAGAATACTGTCCTCATGAGCTTTCCAATAAAGAATGAGCTTCAGAAAATCAAAATACCCTAAGAGGAGCTTTGCAGTAAGATCTGGTGGTGACTGTTGAACATACTGAATTTAGAACTAACACCAAATGATGAAGAAACAGAGTTGTATATAGACATACAATTAACAAAACGGAGACAGGCGAGTTTACCAAAAAAGGAATGAACTATAGGTAGGCTGGGCTACCTAAAATGAATCTGAAATGTGTCACATTAAGTGAAAAAACATCATACTCAAAAGGTTATATTTATATGACAATCTAGTTTGAAAAGGAAAAACTATAGAAACAGAAAACAAATAAGTGGTTGCCAGCAGTTAGGGTAGAAGGAAGATTTGATTAGTAAGGGGCAACAAGAGACACTTTTGTGAGGTAAGGAACTGTTCCACATCCTAACTATGGTGGTTATTACATGATTATATTTCATTTGTCAAAACTCACAGAACTACACATGCCACCCTCCAAATGTGAATTTTACTGCATTTAAATAATAAGTTTTTCAATACCAAAAACACAGATATCAGGGAAGAGGGAGGGAAGAGAAGGGAAGGAGAAGAGGTTACTAGCTAATTCCGTTACTGCTCACAATAGAGAGTAATTTAAGAGGAGAATGCAGGTGTCAGTATAAAAGTAACTTTCTAAATGTAAAAACATACCCAGAAAATAGCAATGAAAATAAATCACATTATTAAAAAATTTCAAAAGTGTCAAAAGTGTTTGAAGTTTTTTTCCATTTTCAGTTAAGCACTTCCCTTATCTAGAAAATCACCAGTTATCCGTGATATATGTTCAGAGTTTTCTGTGGCATTATTTATTTATACTTTCAAAAGGAAGTAACAGAAAGATAAACCAAGAACTATATGATTCCATTTATAAACTATTGCAGTAACGACAAAACTATAGAAACAGAAGACCACTCAGTGGTTGCCAGGGGCCAGAGCCGAGGACCAGCTGTCCACAAAGTGGTATGGAGGAATTTGGGAAGAGGGTGTGTGATGAAACTGTTCTATACACCGATGGTGGCGGTAGTTACATGAATGTACACATCTGCCAAAACTGAGACCAACACGCTAAAAATGATAAATGTTACTGTATGTAAAATATACCTAACTTTTAAAATGGGGGGGAAAAAGGATGAGGGATCCTGGCAACAAAGAGGTAAGATTGAAAAATTAAAAAGGAGTTGGAAAACCAATCTTCATGAAGGACTCTGCTAAGAAGCTGTAATCACAGAACTAACTAGCTTGAACTGGCTCTATCCTGTTTCCAACAAAATACTGAGTTTTCAGAGACAAAAGAAAAAAACCCTAAGTCTTGCAGGGGAAGCATGCTAGGAGAGAATTTTGACTTCCCACTACTACACCTGGAAGCAAAGTCCATCCCCTCCCACCCTATATCCCACCAAAAGACCCGGGCATAACTGAACCCTTCAGAAAAGAAGTCTCTGTTGTCCAAAAGATCTGGTGCTGAAGCCCCTACCTTATCTCACCATAAATAACCACGTTCTAAAGCCCTCCTACAGAAACCTGCCCCGCCAGCCCTTAGACACACCAGTCTGTTCCCTTTAACCTCTTAAATGTCATCCCTAACCCTGGATGAGGGAAACAGATTTGAGCTCTGCCTCTTGTCTCCTTGCCAGTTGACGACACAATAAAGCTTTTTTCTTTTCTCAGAATCTGGTGCATACAACTGGCTTCTATCTCTGTCAGGGAATGAGCCCTTGCTCAGTAACAAAGTTTTAGATTTTATTTTCAAAGCAAGAGGTGTACTAAATGATCTCCAGAAGGGTATAGTCACAATTCAGTTCTGCATCAAAAAGACCACCAACAACAGTTATAAAATGGACTAAGAAGAAATCAGGGAGCAACTGGGAGACCACCAATGAACCAACCACCTTAGTAATTTAGGGGATAAATTACCAAGCCGGGACCAAGGCAGAAGCTGTAGGGAGGGACAAAGAAAGCAAAAGCAGGAAATTTCTCAAGTTTCTAACACTACTGAAACAAGTAACCAAGCTAGTATTGAGAAACAGATTTTAGACAAACTACGATTATCGCCAGTGGGATATTCAAATGCAAACACCTGGTTAGACATATTGGGCCAGAGGCCAGGGGAATAGCCTGAGAAGCAGTTTAGATTTGAAACTCATCAGAGTATTTGCAGTCATGAAAATACAAAATCAAGATCATGCAAAGGTAGAATATGTGGAATGAAAAGTAAAAAAGAACCCTGGGCACCATCCTGCACAACACCAGCATTTTGGGGTTGAAGATATATTTGGAGTATAAAAAGAAATGGCTTACTGAGTATGCAGCAGTAGAGTTAGAAATGATTACAATCATCTGCCTATTTCAATCTGGGTCTCCAACCACTTTATTCTTGACTTCTCTGACTTTATCTTTGGCTTGATCACCCTGAGAAAACTGAGGCAGTTAAATAAAGTTATGATCGAATTCCAAGTTTTCACTTTCTACTTTCCATATTGTTGACCTGTGAGATTACTCAGCAAATAAAGAAGAATAAATTACTGAATACACTTATTCTGTAAATTAAACACAGAAGAAGCAGTAAGAGGGACTAAATGATTCAGTTCAAATACAGATTTACTTACTGCAACACAGAGTCCAAGAACTTTTATCTTGGTTGCTGAACAAATGCCTCTGTGGATGCTTTAAAGGACCTCTGATACCACATTGAAATTATCAGGAAATACCATAGAAAGATACAACAGTTATTTTGTTCTTAAACAGAGATATGTTCCAATATTCCCCAAGAAGCTTCCGCACAATGCCTATCTTGCCCAACTCTACTTCTAAAAAATACTGATTTAGGAATATTCAGTGTAAGGCCCAACTACTGTATTTTTCATAATCACATACATAATTCTGATGTACACAAGCATACAGGCACATGCCTGTGCACACACACACACACACACGCACCAATTCCAAGTTGTAAAGCAGTGATATAAAAGCTGGTTCTAGGATCTACAGGGAGTTCTAATTGGAAGTTTCTAAATCACACCCTAATCAGAACTGCCTCCAAATGAGAGGGTACAAATACACATTTCCCTGATCTAAGCCTGAATTCCTAAGCCCCAACCCCTATAAAATGCCAAGAATTTTTGGCTTTGGTCAAAGCTTCAAGATTTAACTTTTCACCAGAATTCAGAAGAATATAAAAAAGGTGTGAAAAATGAGTCACTATCTCTTTATTATTTAATTCCAACTCCAATTTGTCCATTTTAATGGCAAACCTACTTGAAAATTTTGGTTAATTTCACCATTTCAAGTGTTAGTTTCAACTACAATCTAACCAAAACCAGATCCAACCTGCTATACTGAAATATTCAGATTCCACTTTCCAATTAGAAAAATTTCCAAGATTCCTATTACATCAAAAACATTATGAATTAAAACAAAAACGATTACCCAAGAATAGCAAAAACTTTCCCACCACAATTCACACTTACCCATCTCTTCCCTTACTGACAATTTTTACTTCAAAATAATAAATCCCACAGGCTGCTGGTATCGGATGTGTGGCACGAACTGATGCTGCATCTTTTGGGGTTTTGCCATGACCTGCATACAAAACAGAAAGGAAAAAATCAAATGATATTCAAATGAGAATCTAAACAAATAATTCAGGAACAAATATGATTTGCAGAATAATATATACATTTCTGCTTTCATCAGTACAAATCATTAAAGACTCAATGATCACCACAATTAACCCAATATGCAAAATAGCCCGAGTCAGCCATGGAACTCTTCACACATTATTAGTTTTAATAAAATTTCAGAATCTGAATACACTGAACCTAGCAGTCCTTTATGAAAATTAAAGTATTTTAGGGAAGACTGTTATTTTTAAGAGAAAAAAGGCTGCACTTGATTGAAGAACATGAGAATACAATCTTAATTTTATTAATCTAAATATGCACATCATTTATAAAATTTCTAAACAGCCCTGGCTGGTGTAGCTCAGTGGACTGAGTGCCAGCCTGCGAACCAAAGAGTCGCCAGTTTGACGCCTGCAGGCATGTGAGAGGAGCCACACACTGACGTTTCTTTCCCTCTTTCTCTCTCCATTCCCCTCTCTCTAAAAATAAATAAATATTTTTAAAAATTAAAAATTAATTTTTAAACAACACTATTTTGCCAAATGGCCTCCTTTTTAACTGAGAAGCATCTATGTCACATATATATTTTTAAGTGAAATTTTATACAATTAAACTGAGTTGGCAAAAGAACTTCATGACTTTAAGAATTTACAATTTTGTTCTTTTATTTCTATACAAAGACAGATCTATAAAAATTTCCTTGGTCAATTACAGCCTGAGAAATAGCTAATCTCTAGTTGTACTTTCTCTCTTTTTTAAAGAAAGAAATATAACACCACACCATTGCTGACATCCTTAGAAAATCCTTCAGACAGTGGCTTTTAAACTTCTTAAACTAGCTAGTCCTCATTTTAATCCCAAAGGGTTTCCTTCACTCATAGTCACTTCCCCTGTCCCTCGTTCAAGACACAAACTACCTTGAAAGCTAGCATGTGAACAAGAGCAAGTAAGCAAGAGAAAATATACCTATAAAATCAAAGAAGAATAAAGACAGAGGCTGAAGTAGCTGGTTAAAAAGTACTCAAGAAGAGTGAGTGAGACAAGTTTCCACAATCCCCAAAGGTCTGGATGAGAACAGTTTAAATCATCACCCAGGTGTTCTAGTTAATATGCTTCACCCAATACAGTCTTATGTTATTAACCTTTCGGTCATGCAGTAACAATACATTCATAGGGAGGAGAATTCCCCTCCTCAAATTTACTATGATTGTTTTAAAACAAAAAAAACCTTAAGTCACAAACTATATCTTAGCCATACAATAACCATCACAAAGCAATGAGACAGTACCTTTTCTTACCATACAGTTTACCAAATTATCAATGCATACCCCATCATTAAACAGTTGAGTTTACACTTGTAATGCAAACTAACCCACATTTACTTGGTCCAAAAGAAACTGCTGTACTCAATCACTCCTATTACTAGGAAAACTTGTGTCCATAGATGTCTCATGTGTGTGTTATGAACAGAAGTGACCACTGGGCGGTGATAAACTTGGCTAAGAAAATAAAAATGGAAGCAGCAACATACTCATAAAACTGCTTTATCACATTTAGGAAATAGATTTACACTGAACTAAGCAGAAAAAAAATAACAGCACAAATCTGCAGAATGACATCAATAACTTTTTGAAAACAGATATTTATTAAGTTATGGTTTGCAGTTAGATATTTAGTAAGTTATGAAGATATTTAGTAAGTTAAAATAATTGATTAGCCTGGGAAAAGATCATGTAAATTAAATGCATTTAGAAATTTTACACAGCTAAAAATAAATCCAAAGAAAACTCTGATTAATTCTGGAGTCCTAAATCAACTATCTTTTGTATTTGGTTTTTGTTTTTTTTGTTAGGAAAGTGACCAAAACTTTTAGAAATAAGGTAATCTCAAGATATACTTAAATAATAACAATAAATGGTAATAGTTAACATACATTTAATACTATGTACAAGACCCTGTTCTAAGACCATTATTTAACTTACTTATCATTCAAAACAACCTAGGAATTAGTTATCATTTATTTCACAATTGAGGAAACTAAGCAAAAACAAACCAGCTCAAGGTCATCCTGATATATAAGAATTCCAAACCAGGATTTGTGCTGGGATTTAAATTCAAGAAGCGTGATCCAGTGCAGCTCTGCACCCGTAAGAAGGATGTAGTTACAATGAGCATTCTGGGATCACTCCACGTGTATTCCCATCTCCTATCCTTGCTACTTCTTTGGGAAAAGAGAGAGAAAATATTTAGGTTATACAATCTCTCAAAGTATTAGGTGCTTTTGTATAGATTTTTCTCATTCAACATCTATAAAATAGGTATTATTTAACCTCATTTTTTAAAGGGAAAAATTCTTATGAAGGCTGTATAACTATCCAAATTAGTAGACTCGTGTTAAATACATGCATGAATTAAAATCCTCTACATTTTTCTATTATGTAAAAATAACAAAAAACTACAGTCATAAATTTTCAAGACTCGTTTATATTCACTATGCTCTATCTACTAAGCCATTATAGAAAAACTCTGTAAATGTTAAAAGAATGTTTCATTTTTTAATTAAATTTATATTTAAAAAACTTAGGAGAAGGTTTAGATGTAAAAGTTTTCATATACTTCTTAGATGAGATTAGTACTATGAGACTGAAGGGCCTATTTCTAATAATACTCATCAGCAGGAATTTTATTACCTTAAATTCCATGGTGATTGAAATACAACCTCATACTACCAAAGTGTAAACTATTAAAAACACAAACTTCTTGTGTTTTTAGAAATACTGAGTGTTTTCTACATGGTTGAAGAAGAAAGTACATTTACTGCCTCAAAACTCAAAGGCTAGCAAGGTTAGCTCATTCTATTCAACCAATCTGTTGACTACAATTCGCTGGAAAAGGAAAGAGTCTGGATAAAGCCACTCCATCCCCCTCCATTCTCCAACAAGCTGCCAAGTGCCTTTCTGGAAATATAAACAGCCTTGCTTGTGCCATTACCCCTCAGAACAACTAACATTCCTTCTAAAAAATCCTCCCATTCAGCCTAGGAAAAAGATAAACTTCCTAAAAACCTTGTTTGATCTCACCCTCCCCCTGCATTTTCTACCTCCCCTCTTTTACCTCCAGCCACATTCACCAGGCCTGTCTCTGCCCCAAGGTGAAAAGCTCTGCCCCTTTCTTGTCAGCCTGCTTAGGTCCCATTCATCATTCAGATCTCAGCTCCAACCTCACTTCCTCAATTATTCTTTCTCTAACCTCTGACTTGGCCTAACCTTTTTTATATGCCATCATAGTGACACACATCTTTCCTATACAGCATTAATGCACTTAACACTCATTTGTGATTATTTTACTGTCTCTTTTATTTTAATTCTCAAACATTTTTGCATTTTAATTTCTACTGACATCCACCCTAACTTCAGTCATTCCTTCCTGGAGCCACACTCTGATCTCCTTGAAACTATTCCACCTCAAAAATATTAAATTCTCATAAAATCTGTTCTGCTACAAAATATTTCTTGAATACAAATTAGCTGGTATGCACCTGGTAAATACAGGAATGATGTCAACATAATAAAGAAGTCATCTATTTTCCCCCTGTGCATTAAAGAATTAAAGAGAAAAGTTTAGCAATATACAAAGGTCCTAAGTCGATGAAGACTGGGATTCCTACACATAAAGCCATCTGGGAAAATTCAAGTGCATTACAGATCAAAAAGGGCTAAGATATTTCCTTTTTGATTATATCTGTATGGGTTCATACATCTCATGCATATTTATTTTATACTTTGGGTTATAATTCAATATTATTGGGTTGGCTCAAATGTCCATTATATTTTTATGGTACAATGACTCTACCAACGGTTAAGTTGTCTTTAACTTCATGCAAAACAATTTTGTTGGATTATATTGTGACAGCTGTCATGTCAGTGTGCATTAAAAAAAAAAACTTAGCAAAACTGGTGATTTTTTTGTGCAGCCATTTTAATATTGAAGATGGAAAAAATAAGCAACATTTTTGCTATATTATGCTTTATTATTTTAAGAAAGGTAAAAATGCAACTAAAACATAAAAAAAATTTGCGCAGTGACTAGAGAAGGTGCTGTGACTGATTGAATATGCCAAAAAATAGTTTGCAAAGTTTCTTGGTACTACTGACATTTTGGCCAAATAATTCTTTGCTGTGGGGCTGTCTTATGGATTATAAGATGTTTAGCAGCACCCCTGGCCTCTACCCACTAGAAGCCAATAGCAGGCGATAGCTGACACACTCAAAAACCCAAATCAACAGTTATTGGTGAAATGAAAAATGTGTCTTTTACAGAAAAAGCTAAACGGACCTTTTTTGGCCAACCCAATACTCTGGGGGGGGGGGGGTTTGCTCACATTGTTCCCCCTTAGGCTATTGGAAATCTTTTCAGTTGGTTCCTCTACCATTCTGACATATTTCCAATTATGTTTTTTGGTTTTGTTTGTTACTTTCTAGCACTTCGAGATGCTACCATTATTTCCTGCCCCAGTCCTAGAATGAGCCATTTCTCCAAACAGCCCTGGCAAATGGCATTAGAACCCAATCTCTAGGTAGTGTGCTAGTTGTTATGGAGATATTGCTACTTTTAGGCTCCCTCACTGACAAGGACAAGGAAATGTATGTTTGCACACTAAACCACTCTATATACACATACCTATATTTCCCTATGTAATCATTTCTGTTGATATTAAACTAAACATGAGTTCCTAGTGGTATCTCCAACTCTAATCCATTATCACATGGATCATTCTAATCTCCTCCCTTTGCTTTTTTTTTAAAATTTTTTTATTGATTATGCTGTTACAGTTGTTCTATTCCCCCCTTCATTCCCCTCCCTTTGCTTATCTGTATAATTTCACTCCAATGGTAAGAAACCTAGCTTCCAGCATCTGCCATCCATTAATTTAATTGCTCAATTCCATTATAAGTATAT